CGTTCCACGACAATGTCCCATGTGCCTGTAATTTCACCAGCTCCCTTACCCTTCAAAACCGGAACACAGTAATGCTGACATTACTGCTTGGCGGCAGAAATACGTAAGGAGGCAGTACTTTGGACGAACTCTTTCACAAGGAGCTCTACTGATACTGCTGCAAGGAGTTATACTGTGATAGGGTTTTCCAGAGAGACTACGGGCTCGACAGCAAGACCAGGGTACAGCGGGCGATCGGTCCAAGCCCTCCGCCAGTGCTACGCCATTGCGGGCATCTCTGGTACCGGACTTGGGTATGGAATCGCTGGGGTTTGTAGTTAGCTGCAGAGACAGACATGTTGGTATGCCCCGGTTGGGTGTGACCGGGGCATCTGTCTCGTGAGCTGCTAGCGCGTCTTAGTAGCAATCTAGTTGAGGGCCTGAAGCGAGGAGACGCGCGGGACACATGAGTTGCCCTTTAAGTTGAAAGCTATGTCTGGACATTGTCGCAGGACATTGCAACTGGCATCCCCGGCACTAGCCCGGAGAGCTAGTAGAGGATAAGCTAGATATCCTCCGGTCCCTCCAGCCGCTTAGGCTATTGGGAACTGGAGAGACGCCATTTTTCGGCGTCGGGAAGTGAGCGTGTCTTACAATTCTGCCACCATTGAGGAGATTTGGTAGTGGACTCACAGTCGACGGCTTAGCGGTGGTAACCGCTAGTTCTACAATGCGCAAAGCGCCATATTCAGCTTCTACTGGAAACTTAACAATATGCTTAGCTTCGACTGAAAATTACTTGAACACAAGAGTAATGGAGTAGCCTCCCTCGTAAATATTAATTAATTATTATGTCCATTTTTTTTTACAAATTCACTTAGGGATTATAATAAAGAGTTGGGCAGATACATACATACAAATATTGCTATAAATGTAAAAATAAGCGTGTGCTATAAGAAATGTACCGATATTCCAACTAAACGTAAACTCAAATATCCGTAATTCGGAAAATTGATTTATAATAAAACCGTTACGCTTTCGAGTAATTTTAATGCTTTTCACAAAACCAAAATTAGCTTTTGTTTTGTAATCTTCCTAAAAAAGTACATTTGACATTATGAGAATTCGAGCTAATGTTATTTCGGGCAAATGTATTTTCTGACTTCTGATAGGTAATCCCATGCCGTAAAACGAGTACAACAATATTTTGATAGTTATTGCTAACGTTTAATAAAAAAAATATTTTAAAAATAAGATTAAAATCAAAGCGACTCTATAGTTTCTTTGTTCTAAATATTTCAATCGCTTGTGTTTCGAACAAATGAAAATGACCAAGAAGTTTATAAGCTTCTTGAAACTGACGTAATGGGTCTCTTTCCATCTTTTGTGCATGCATTGTGTAGAAAAAGGACAGTTAGCTATTTGATTATTTTGTGTGCTTTTGTCATTTATATTTACGATTCATTTACAAGTAAATTAAATACTATACAACTGTACAAAATAACACTTTAAAATGAGAACTATGATAACACAATACATTTGTTTAGTGAAAATATGATACAAAATCCTGTTTTTACACTTTACTGCAGTAATTTTTAATATTGGTACTGCATAATTGACAACCGCGCTGTCAGTCGAACAAACGAAGACTGTTGCGCGATTGACGCTCTGTATGTGATTTTAACGCTGCGGACACTTTTTAGCGCGAACCCGACGTCCATTTATTGGTAGGTCGATGCATGGAAGCATTAATTTATAAATTAGTTTGTAACACACAACGCCAGAAAATAATTCCAGCTTATTCATGGTCAATATACCTATAAATAATGTTACAAGGAAAAAAACTCATTTTACTCTAACGACTATTTTATACAATGAAACAGAATGTGGACACACCAGCAAAATTGAAAATCGGGACATTAATATTTTTTATTAATTATTATTGTACAATAAATATTCTGAAATTCTTGCCCTAAACTCATTTTACGTCTAATTAGACTATGAAAAATAAATCATTGATATTTCTTCACTTTACACCAGGATTCTCAGCCTGGACACTCAAAATTTACGCATGAGATATTCACTCAATTAATCCATGGCCATTTACATAATATCAACTACTGCCAGGCTTCCAATCAGCGCCATCTCGATATAAGGCGGCATTTACACCTTTTTCAGAGTTACGGTCTGCAGTATTTAGATTAGCAGTCCCCTGAGGTATCGGTATCGAAAAGTGGAATATAGTGAATATACATTTTTAGACAAACGCGTATCGTCACAATTGACATGGTTACATTAAAAAAACTTCGAGATAAGTAATCAAAGCCTAGCTTTGGTTATTTTTTATTCTTTCGTCCAATGGCGTCGAGAAAGATGCGACTGGTGCTCAACTACGCCAGGAATGATTATCTTCTTCGATCGATTATTCGTACCACGATATGACTTCTTTTTATTTTCCCAATATTTCGGAACAGTTACACCCTCCAGGGCCAATAATGCTACCTTGAAGAACTCCGTAGTTAAAGTTAGCCTCCTGAATTAATATTGAACAATCCTTACCCATTCAATTCTATGTGTAAGGTAATTCCGCACGAAAGGAAGGTGAAGACCGCTTTTACCTACCACTTCTTATTTCTCTACAGGCATGAGAAAAGAGACCATGTCGAATGCCTTAGCCAAATTCAAGTATAACAATATTTTTATTATTTTTTTAATATGTAACATAAATATAACAAACGTAAAGGTGAGTGAGATAATTTAGTGTTTAAACTATAGTTTGCATCTCATGCAATGTATAATTAATAAACGATACAATTCGTCCGGAGGTCAAAATACTTTTATCAAAAGTCACCTGTGCGCACTTGAGAGTGATGTAACGTTCGTACTTATAATGATAATTAGCAGATGATTCGAAATAAATAATACATAATAGAGCGGTGATAGCCTAGTTGGAGAACTGTGAACGGTTGCTTCTTAATGAAAGGGTTAACGGTTCGAATCGAAGGTGGCCTATAATTTGCATGTGATTTTAATTTCTAAGTACCCACGTTTGTGAACGCTTCAGCAGCAATACCTTTTTTTTCTTTTTTTTTGACGGGGGGGAAATCTTTATGGATACCCCTGAGCCCAGGGAGACTGAGGGGTTATGTGGGGACTCTCCCTCCAGACTGGAGGGCCTACCCCACTAAAACCCCCCCGGGTTTCCCTCTCGCCGGTTGAGTCGGCGCCGTGGGATCAGTGAACATTCACCACGACGCCGCCCGGCTCAGCAGCAATACCTCTCGCTGAGGATAAAGGAATACTTAGTGATGCAATAATAAATGAAGGTTTACATTCCTTGGAAAACGTGTTAAGTCCCCAACTCGCACTAGGCCAGCATGGCGGACCATGGCCTAAAGTCTGTCCTTAGAGGAGATCCGTGCATAGCAGTGGGAGCTATAATTACTTGACGATGATGGTGACATATATTCGATCCTGGCATACCTCGTTCTCTTCATTTATTTGAAATTTATCCAGTCGTCCCAACGCTGCCTTATTACTGCCAGAACCCTGTATTTTGTTTGTTTTCGTATTCTCATGGGCAATATTACAGCATTGGTATTGTGTGAACGTTTTCGCCCATATTATATACTGTTTATGGGTATGAACGATGACCTTAGAGTATATGCCTAAAAAAGGCAGATGTGTTGTTAAAGTTTATATAGGTTGCGCAACTGGTTTTTAACTTCGATTAGGTACTATAACGTAACATAATATTTGTGTCAAGAACGGGTATGAAAAATAACTTTAACCGTGAAAAATCTGAAAATTTATCAGAGTCTTATGTATTTATAATAATAATATTAACCTAAAATGCTAAGCAGTCGACTTTAGAATACTTTACTAACCGCGTTTCATAAATACGGCTTCGTGGGATGTAAGTAATACTGCTATTGTTAACTACGTTCTTAAATAAGGCCATACTGTATTTAATCGCGATAAAATATTGTTGTCGTTATTGAAAATTATGTACTACACGGACAATGATGTCCATGTTATTTAATAGCAACCCTAAAAAAATTGTATTGTTATAGCAATGTTTATAATATGGACCAGTGGCCACATATATACCAGAACGTTTAATTTGAAAAGAATAATTTCCATCGTGTTTTGATTTCGATTTGACAATGCTAATATGCTATAAAATGAGTTGCCACGGTTACAAACGGTTGCCATGCTAGTCTGCCACGCAGAGGTCCCGGGTTCGATTCCCGGGCCGGGAGAAATATTTGTATCGCCTACAATTATTTCTCTCGTGAATTTGGGTGTAATTTGTGGATGTCTATTGTGTGGGTTTATGCCACTTGTCTAAAAGATCAAAGAAAATGTAACATAACTAAGTTATTTTTCTAAGAGATCAAAAAAGGTATCTAATGTCCAATAAAAACTCTAACAAAATCAACTAAATACTTATTACTTGCAAACCAGTTTTTGAAATTTAATCAAACTGAAATGGATTAGTGAATATTTATATAAATGTGATGTTAGTATCTATTTTATGTTTGTCTGACGTATTTTTACACTCATTTACCGCACATTTCGTCATTTTTAGCTAAAATCCTTGATCTGTTCGCGGTGCAAGCTGACCTTGAACACTGAAGGCCCGCCCGCTCGTGTAGACCCTTTGGACGCGCTTCAATTTGCCTCACTTAGCGTGTGCGGACTAGGTTTCTATGCGTTATTTTTCTAAGTTCGTAGCTATCAATGATATGTATATCATAATTTTTAAGCTATCATAATTTTACGCAATAATGCAAAAAAAGGTGGCATCCTGCCTGCATAGATTGCGAAACTGCTCAGAGTTCTTAAAATGATACGGGACAGGTGAGACTCCGAGCTGCTTGTTATGTTCACCGAACTTCACGTCCCGGGAGATCGGTGAACATGTAGTCATTTCATTCGTTCATTCATTCTTTTTATTCTGTAACTTTTGTACTAATAGTAGAATAGATAGTTTGTAAGTGTAACGACAAAATGGACTGTAAATTGTCTGCAATAAAATATTTTAATTTTTTAATATAGAACTAAATACAATAATTCCAGGTATTCAAAAAGAGGCCTATTATGGTATTATTAACCTACCTAACCTAACCTATTTCTGCCGCCAAACGTTAATGTGAGTATTACTACGTTCCGGTTTAGAAGGGTAAGGAAGCTGATGAAATTGCGGGCAAATGGGACTTTTCAACTTAAGTCGCAGGGTGAGCGGCGCAGTGGCAGTGCTCCTAAGATCTTTGCGATTTAAAGCTGTGGGTGGCACCGCAATTGTCTAGAAGTGTCGCTTACCATCAGGCGCACGACTTGTTTGAAAGAAAGGTGAAAAATATACGCTTCCACTGCTCGGATTCTATTATGAAAATGTAAGTGTGTGTTAATTGGTATTTAATGATTAAATGTTTATGTTGCGGTACCACATGCTCAAAGGTCGAATACAATTTTCTATTTGCGTTTGTTATCGACGTTAGCATTAATATCGATGCCTTCATCCGGAGGATTCTGACAGTATGCTCTGATCTTGCCCTTGAGACGGACCCCGGCTTTGGCTTTCACTATAACTGTAAAGTATCTGTAGGACACGCCGCCTCGGAGAAGAATAGGGATCGCCGTGTCTGTTTCCACGGCCAGGTGACTTATCTGTGAAAATAATGTTAAAATGTAATATGACGTTTATTGACTATCACGATATTATTTAATTATTTTTTTATGCAATTACTCCATTAGTATTCGATCCGATTGGATTGGAACCAGAGTCGTCAGCGTAGCAGGCCGACGCTCTCCCCCCAACTAAACTACGGAAATAACCAGCAAACCCAACTAATTGTTTTGTGCTTGTTGCAAATCTTTGTTTTTGGTTCTTTTTAACGACTTTTTTAAATACTAATTTGTTTAGTATCTGGGTGAATCAACTTTTTCAACGACATAATGCTGACCCTATATTTTAGAATAAAGAATCCACCTCAAAAATTTACGAAACACATCACATCTATTTGCCAAGTTTTATTGAAATCGGTCATCCCCTAGTTTGCCACCCTTAGAGATCAAATATTTTCTTAAAATGGGACCCATACTGAGGCAACCTTTTTCCAACAAAACAGGAATCATCAAAATCGATTCATAAATGGCGGAGTTATCGCGTAACATACGAGTAATTACGAAAAAAATACATTCGAATAGAGAACCTCGTCCTTTTTTTTGAAGTCGTTTAAAATTGGATTAGAATATGACAGGATTTTTGTTTCTGGGTTACCAATTTTCTAAATTGGTTCTAACTTAAAAAGTCATGAAAAAACTTTATTTCACTGCTTTGCTTTGATTTTGCGGTCGGGACTACGAAAAGTTGGAATTTGCGTAGCATAGACAAAATGTACAAATTTTCCAGTTATTATTATAAAGACATAATAATCTCAGTCCAGAGTACTAAAAAAACGACCTCTAAAGTACGTGGAATTACATCTATTTGCCAAGTTTTATTGAAATCGGTTACCGGAAAGTGCGCAAACCCGGATTCATCCCCTAGCTCGCCACTATACGGGACACAGGAGATAATAAAAATCGGTTCTCACTACTCAAAGTATATTGAGAGAGAAAAACGCCTTGAGTTGGAGAATAGCAAAACCAACCATTAAAATAATTGCCCCTTATAATAAAATTTAGGCGCTATATAAAAATGAATCTTCATGCGTGAACAGCCACCCTTAAAGATGGGTGATTTTCTTCAAAATAAATGGGACCACTAAGGGGTACCTCCATACTGAGGCAACCTTTTTCCAACAAAACAGGAATCATCAAAATCGGTTTACAAATGGCGGAGTTATCGTGTAACATACATACAAAAAAAAAGAAAAACACCAATTCGAATTGAGAATCTCCTACTTTTTTTAAAGTCGGCGAAAAAAGAGAATATTATATTTGAAATGTTTAGTAGGTATAATCCAAATTCCGAAACAAAATTCTTCAAGTTATGTAACATAGGTAACATATTAATTTTTATTGAATATCACGAACACAACAAAGGAAAAGATCCTTCGACAGGATTAGACCCGCACTAGCGTCCGTTGCCACACCAGGGCCATCGCTCTTAGCAAGAGTCTCGGTCTATACTGCCGTCCTTGTCAAAACTAACGCATTAGCATCGAGATATTAATGAATAAAACTAAATTATTGAAAGATTTGTAAAATAACTCCAGTACTTTTTATAATGATTATTATAACACAAATTGTGTAAATAACACTGTGACAGCCACCAGCAAGTAGGTATAGCTACTCTTTGCTAAGTACTTACTGCTCCATTAAGCGGAAACCAATACCGTCAAATAACAAACAGAACACACAGAAGAAGCTTTATGTCCATGTAATAAGAGCGAAAAAAGCTGCGGTTCGAGCAGAAGCAAAACGCGTAACTTATAAAGTTTTTCTAACCGGCTCAAGTCGGTTTCGCGTGAATTAGATGTAGTAGCTCCCTAACTGGTAATGGTGGATATTTATTGTATCTAAGTATATACCATCTGCCGTTGCATAAGCATCAAATAAAGTTACTCACAATGCAGTTAAACAATCCATTCGAAGAAATCTGATGCCCCAATATTTTCGGTTCGTAATCAAAATGGTGGTTATAGACCCTCGTATCTCCCGGCTTTCTTGATCCTTGATATATACTTCTATAAGGAGTAGGATATTGTGTCCCAATGACTGGAGGCAGACTTGCTGGGTGAGGATTGTTGTCAAAGAATCCACTGTGCTTGGATTTTGCTGCCACACGACGGTAATTTTCTCTGTGAATGACATTTTATTATATCAACAATTCTTACATATTACGACACGGTGCGGTGTTCAGTAGTTTACGCTGTGAGCGCTGAAAGATTAGATCCCGGGTTTGATTCCCGGTAGAAACTATTTGGGAAACAAACTTTTTTAAACAAATTCTGATCTCGGTGTTCCAGGTACGGATATCCTTGCAGGGTATTATTTTTAATTCGTAATGAAATGAACATGTTATTAAATTCGTCGAACTCGATGGTCCAACAGTTTGCATTGTGAGCGCTGGATGAGGAGGTCCCGGGTTCGATTCCTGGTAGGATCAATTTGGAAATGAACTTCTCTGGGTATTCTGAGTAGTGACCCGGTGTGAAGACCGTTGTTCTAATACTTATTATTATAATATAGGAAAAGCACTAGTTTGAAAACAGGTAATTCTCAGTAGTTCTGTGAAGAAAACTGTCTATTTATGAACAGAACAAATAGGGAAAAAATACTAGTAGTTCTGTCAACAGAACTGGTGAAAATAAGGGGTAATTGGAGAGTTGTTTGGTACATTATTAATATTGTTGTATATTATTTAAGTCAATACACATAAGTAAGAATTACAGGCACATGAGACTGGTTCACCTTGTATTACATGGCATGAGCGCAATGGCAGCGCCTGCTTCTCAGATCGCTAAATTGCTAAAAACACTATAGTGAAACTATTGTGTTGTCAATAATTTATTAAAAAAATATATATTAGACAACAACGTTGCTCCCTTTTGATCCGTTGCTTGCTGATCCCAAAGTAAGTAGCTGAAGCACTTGTGTTATGGAAATCGGAAACAATGATGGTACCACAATCACCCAGACCCGACAATATAGAAAAGTTAGCTTCCAAGCTGACCCGGCCGGAGATCGAACCCGGGACCTTAGAGGTGGCGACACCATGAAGACCAGTGTGCAAGGCACTCAACCACTGAGGCGTCGATTTATTACTATGCTATTACTATGGAATATGATTTTAGGTCAAAGAAAATAAGGTATTATGCATATGTTTAGGAGGTTCTGCTTTGCAATTGTGATCTTATGGGTGGCTGTGGTTTTCAAACTTTTAAACAGGGTGATGTATGCGGTGGCTATGCCCCTCAGATCTTTTACGATTTAAAGTTCTGAGTTGCAATGCAACTGTTATGGACAGGCGACGACTTGTTTGCTCCATCATCAAAAAATACAAAAGATCGTAAACTTTCTCTTTTGTATACAGAACCAACAAAACTATGAAAATTAGTATAGTACAGTAGGCTTTTTTTATAACATCAAATGACGGGACGAACACGTCGTGCGCCTGATGGTAAGCGACACGCCTGTCCATAACAGTTGCAATGCCACTCAGAACTTTAAATTGCAAAGACCACTAGAGAGGCACTACCACTGCGCCCGGAAAACCGGAACACAGTAATGCCGACATTACTGCTTGGCGGCAGAAATAGGTAAGGTGTCAGTACTACCCTGGACGAACTCTTTTACAAGGAGCTCTACTGCTAGTATAGTACAGTAGACGAAATCGCGGCACCAGCCAGTATTAAATAAAACAAAACGGAGCTGTAAACATACTTACATTGGCCGGTGACCTAACCCATAGTTATACCGCTTCTCATAATTAAAAGAATTTCCCATTGAAATTTCACATCTTACCAACATTAAAATATCATACATAATCCAAATTATAAACAATATAACATTCATATTTTTGTTTTCATACAATATAATAAATTTTCAATTATTATTATTTAAGAAATTGATCACTTTACGACCCTGCGGTTCTATATGACAATTAATTTATACGCCTGCTGTTTTTCTTGCAGCGTCCGGCTTTGCGTGTTCAAGAATAACAAAGCATGTAAAAAGACATAACCCGTTGTAATCATAATAAAATCGATTTTATAACTAATTTATGCACTCGGTATGTTTAATTAATACTGAAAACATGATAAAGTCAAGGTTAAACAAATCATAGCAAGTACATTACGCAGCTGAATCATATTTTTTATGTCTGGTTTGCATGGACAACAATAATTTACATGGGTTTTATAAAAGGTAAGACTGTAGCCATGACTACTTTCACAAACACTCCACACTTAATTTGTAAAATGTCTTTTTGATCTTCCCTAAAATAACACAATAATCTAATCCATATCTAATCGGACAATTTTTAGCAGAGAGTGAAGTTTTTTTGCTTAATTAATGCTGATTTTTTACGTTTATTATCAATGACATAAACATCCCAAAAAATAGGCAAAGTACTTGATACCGATTCACTGAAACAATGTATATTATAGAGCATATGGAGAAATATATATTACATAAGTCAATGATTACATATATCTTTGTATACGGATTGGTTCCAAAGTACGGCGAAAAATTCAATGGACCGGAATAGGGAACACCGGAATAATTCAAAAAGTTTAGTAACGGTCTGCAAAACATAAGGTAGAGGTGCTTTTAGTACTTTTACAGGATATACCTTGGGCAATTTCTAACAAAAGGTTCAAAACATTCTGAATTCCTTTAAAGATGCTCGCCCTTCTATAAATTTTAAACCCTTCACTTCAATTGCATACGCGAAAAAAATATTTGGATGACGGTTGAAAACAAAACATATTTTTAACCGGTAATTTTTTTCCCACAGGTCTATTCTCAAAAAAATTCAAAATAGTTGCCACAGATACCGGACAATGCGCCACAGACCAATACCCTAAACGGGAGACATGTGTAGTAAACTAAATTATTATATTAAATGGAAGGATTTTGTTAATTAGATTATTATCTAATTATAATCAAAATCAGTAATTTAATCAAAACGCTAGCCTCCAGAGTCAAAAACATAAATAACAAAAATAATGTCAATTTGACAATTCACTGAATCGATTTTGTAACGTCAATCAGTGTTGCTAGATTGTTACATTTCTTACATTTTTCGTAATTTTTTACTTATTATTTCCCATTCTCTAAGCTTTTGACCCTTTGATATTATAATAAAAAATAAATAAAGGAATTTTTGTTTTTAAGGCAATTTTCGTTGCTTTTGAGAACATTTCAACACAACACACTTGTCATTTCATCAGGTCATGGTCTTTAATTTTAGGGGCCGTATTCCTGAACCTCAATGCTCAAGTCAGGATTTAAATATGATTTAAAGCATTAGAAATCACACTCAAGTCCTTGCCATTAGGATCGTATTTCCAGTGCTTGAAATCATACTCAAGTCCTGACTTGAGCGTTGAGTAGACTTCTGGAATACGACCCTCAGTCTAATTTATTTATTTTTATTTTGTAAGTATACTCTTAAGCGCTAAAAAAATAGTTTACAAACGCACCCAATTAAGATATTAGTATAGGTAAATCAGAGACGGCTCAAACAAAATTAAATTTGTCAATTATTGTTAAAGCTTGATTCTACTTAAACTACTGCATAGCTTGATTTTTGTATACAAATCTGTTTAAGTACAAATTAATGTTTTTTGCAACACAACATTGAGCTTGAATAAGTTATTTTGACGTATTTTTTATAAATTCTTTTAAACTTTTTGATTAAAACGAAACGAAATAAAAATACATTCAGTACAGAGTACTAAAAAGCCGACCTCAAACATTATTCATCCCCTAGTTTTCCACCCTTAAAGCTGGAATATTATTCTTTAAATTTAAATGGGGCCACTATTGAGGTAATCTTTTTCCAACAATGAAATAATCATCAAAATCGGTTCATAAATGCGGAGTTATCGCGTAACGTACATACAAAAAATACAGTCGAGTTAAGACACTCCTCCTCCTTTTGTATAGTCGGTTAAAAAACGGAATGTTACGTTTGAACCAAAATGTTTGTAACTTTTCAAGTAACGAAACATACTTTTCGACTCAAAGGTCCTGGCAACATTGATGTCAATAAAAAAAAAACTTGTAAAAATGAGAATTCTTGGATTTGCTATGTAAACGCATTATTTATGATATTTTTCCTGAAATTCATTGAGTATGAGTAAAACAACTTCTTAAATTGTGTAGCTAAACTGTTCTATCTAATTTTCTTCTTTACCCTATCACGGTTAGCGTGAAAACATGGATGGTGAGTTCACTACATCGTAAAGGCCTGTTTTTGTGGAATAAACCAAATAAAAACTGATGTTCTATCATTTAGGTGGTTCAGCAAAGAAATCTACCTCTCTTGAAACTTTAGTCATCCAGAATATAACAAATGTGAACGATTTGAAAACAAAACTTAGCGACATTATTGAAAAGGGCAAAGACTATGATTTCGACGTGTCTTCTTGTTTAAAGTCATTGTTGAAGAACAGCGATCATGAAATTATGCTTTTAACCGTGCAAGCCATCTCGGAGCTCGCAAAATGTGAAGAAAAAAGGGATACTTACGCTCATGAAGATATAATCAAACCTTTGATCAATATCTTACAGAAAGACCTCACATCTGAAACGATAGAGCTAATTAAACAGAGTTGCCGGGCACTTGGCAACCTATGCTGCGATTGTGACACTGCCAGAAAAATTATACTCGACAACAAAGGTGTAGAGACCCTAGTAAGCCTCCTTGAAAAGTCCTTACCGAACAGATCTGCTGAAGAAATAAAAATGTTTACAATCAAGATATTGTCAAATTATGCTATTGGTGGACAGGAGTTCTCAGAGTCTATTGTACAAGGAGGGTTAATGCCTTTATTGCATAAAATATTAACTATAGAACTTGAAAAGGAAGACATGAATGACAACATGGTATCAACTACTTTGTCAATTTTGAATGTTGTGAATGAAAATACCCTGGAGTTCCTGTTTGAGCCGGAGGTTAATATAGCTGTGTTGAATATTTTGAAAGAGACAGCTAATTTAGAGATTTCAGAGTTATGCCTTGATCATTTACTTGCACAGGCTGAACATGGTAACAGTTTACTTATTTCAATAATATTGTAAATGCACTTTTCATGCTCTTTTTGTTTACACGGAGTCTGGGTGTCCTCAATTCATTTGTTACTAGGTAGTTGCAGTGTAGGGAATTCCCTAGTAAAACCAGGGGGTCTATTCTCGATCTCCGTCCGACATCCGTCCGAAACACTTACTGCCAAATAAGCAATATTTGACCAAATGAAAAGACGCGTGATGCAAATGAAGCTTCATACTGGATACTTGTCTGTTAATTTTGTTGAATATTACTTATTTCTCAGTAATTGTTTCGGACGGATGTGGGATGTAGATCGAGAGTAGCCCCCCAGAATGTTGACATGTCTATTAAGAGCTGTTCCAATTCATTTTAAACGAAATGTAAACAAAACGGTTTGGTTGAATTTCTAAAGCAATCACTCAATAAATGGAATAAGTAACTTTAACATATATTTTGAAGATTTAGACTTGATATCTCATCACTTTATTTTAACAACGTTCATTTTAATAACATCGTTTTTGAAAAATGGTTGTTCAAAAGTGGGGTTATTTTTTAATTAAATTTAATAGTCTATGGTTGCATACTACTGTACAGAAGAAAACATTAAGTTCATTCAATTAAATTTTTTGTAATAGATTAGTAAATTGAAAATTTCATTCGCAACAAACAAGTATCTAAGTGTAACGATTTGAAGGAGGTTTTAAAATTAAGATTTCAGAAATTTAAATATGCTTTTATTTTATTTTATTTTATTTTATTTTATTTTATTTGGGGAGCTTACAGCTACTTTTACAAATTACATATCTAAGTATGCAAAGAAATGCCAATTAAAAGCTTCCACATACATACAGAAAAATTATAAAGTAAACTACTTTCAAATCTACTATGCTAACTAACTTAAGACACATCTAATTTCAAATTCACATTACAAATTAGAAATGAACTTTTGGGTCAACATAGATTTGACTTCCAGAACGCTGTCGCAGAATAAATCCATGTTGAGGTCATCATTGATCATCATTTTATAGGTTATGTAATGAAAACTGCTAGTATGACTCAATTAAACAAATCGATTCATTCAATTAATTAATTGATTTGTAATTGACAGTAAACTTGGCCATCTGTGGTCAATCAATTCAATGACTTGTTTGTTTACTTTAGTCGCTTGTTTTTTACCAATGTAGATGATGTCAATTATACAATTGTATCAATGTCTTGTATTTCATAGCTTGTAGTAAGTTTTTAGAAACAAAAACTTGTATTGAATCAATTGACTACAGTTACTCACTGACTTAAATTTCTAGATATATGGCCTTAGTGCACACTATATTTTAAGTGCTTTTATATGATAAGTGACCTTAATTATTATTATCACATTTCATAAATAAAGTACAAAATTCACTGATATAATTTTCTAGTTTAGCGTTTCACAGATTTTGAGCTCTTCTTACTATTGCAGAGGAAGTAAAAACTCTACTAGCAAAAGAGAATGGTGTACAGTTAGTGTGTGGTCGGCTTGAGCAGTTAGTGCAATGCCAGGAGGCCGGAGATTTGAGAGCTGAAGATTCAGAGGTTGAAGCAGTGGTGAAACAGGCCTGCGATCTGATTGTTATTGTTTTGACTGGGGGTGAGTGCTTACAGGTTAGAAATAATATACACAATACCAATATTGGAGATATTCAATTTAGTATTATTGTCTCACAGTCTATAGACAGTGGGCATCAAGTAAATGTCCACAGATACTGATTACAGCAAGGCTCTTGATAGAATTGACCATAACATTTCTATGACTAAACTTGCTAGAGTAGGTATCAGAGGTGACCTTGTTAGGTGGTTTTATCCATATATAAATAACAGATACCAAGCAGTAGTCGTAAATAATTATATATATCCAGTTGGGTTACCATACCTGATGGAGTGCCTCAAGGTTCAATGTTAGGGCTCCTCCTTTTTAATATATTCCTAAATGAGATTGTTAACTGTTTCCACTACTCTAATTTGCTCTGTTTTGCTGATAATATGATAAACGCTCTATTAATTATATTTGGTCTGGTGTATATGTATACTAAACATCTTAAACAATAATATTGATTGCTATTGGGTGATATTTTGTTTAATATACCTATGCAGTAACTATAAATCTGTGTGCCAGTTTAAGTAAAATATGAGGGTTAAATTATAAACCATTTTTAGACAAGTAAAAATTATTCATATATTAATGAACCGAAATTTGGTGAAATAGTGGTACCATTATAATGAAATTTGTTTCAGAGGAAGCCGTTCACTTGCTTTACAACAGAGGCAATGGCGAAGTATATATTACGATGGTGAAGTGGCTGGACTCCAATAATCACCATTTGTTGACAACGGCTGTTCTTGCCATCGCAAATTTTGCCCGACAAGACGACTATTGCATACAAATGATGGAAGAAAATATATTTGATAAATTGCTTGGTAAAAAAAAATTTGAAGATGACTGCGGTCATTTTTTCAATTTGTAATATGGTACATTATAGGAAATTATGCCAGTTCCCGTCGAGGTATGCTTTTCTCAAACAATGCGAGGAAATAATAAAAGGCTAAACGGAGGAAGGTGTATAATAGAAAAAGAAAAAAAATGTTAATATTAAAAGTAGTATTTGACATTTGACTAACATTGCCTCTCGTTTTAAATTAGGCGGAGTGCGCAGTTACCGCTCTTCTCGCTAGGACCACCGAAGCGCTTTAGTTTATTTTACTGCCTTTCTTTAAAAGAGCAATTCAGTTCAGGCGGTCGGACGAATTTTTGTTTCGCCCGTTTACGCAGTTCGTCACTAGCGGAAGATCGAACAGCGTAGACGGCGGCCGGGTGACACTGATCGCCTCCCCAGACGTGTTCGAGACGCACCACGCGCAGGCCGCGGCCGCGGTGCAGCACGCGGCGCTGGCGGCGCTGCGCAACCTGCTGATGCCCGCCGCCAACAAGCGCCGCGCGGGCGCGCGGGGCCGCGCCGCGCCGCTGCTGCTGCGCGCGCTGCCCGCCGTGGAGCAGCAGCACGTGGCCTACAAGCTGCTGGCGGCGCTGCGCATGCTGGTGGACGGGCAGGGTGAGCGGGCGTGGCGCGGGGCGGGGCGGGGCGGGGCGGCCGAGGGCAGCGCTAGCCGACTTTCCGTGCAGA